GTACTTGTAGTACTCGAGGTAGTACTGGTTTCACTAGTTGTAGTAGTAGTACTTATGGTACTCGAAAAAGTCGTAGTTGTTGTACTTGAACTAGTACTGCTTGTAGTAGTCGACGTAGTACTAGTTTCACTAGTTGTAGTAGTTGAAGCAGTAGCACTTGTAGTACTCGAAGTAGTTGTGATTGTTGTAGTAGTTATAATAATTGAAGTAGTACTACTTGAAGTAGTTGTTTCTCGATTTGTAGTTATTGTATCTCCAGTATTTGTACTAGTTGTGGTAATTCTGCTTGTCATTGTGGATTCTTTGCTATATAGGTAAATGATAATATTAGAAAAAATAGAAAACAACAAAATAATTTAGATTATTGTCATATAAACTTGTTTATATTGTACTATTCTAATAATTTATTTATTCAATAACTAATAAGTAACAACTATTGATATGAAAAGAAAAGAATTTATTCATGTAAAGATTAGTAATGACGAACATCAAAGATTGATAAAGAAATATAATGAAACATTCTTAATAGATTTCGTTAACACTGAAAAATATAGATCAAATATAATTGGATTTTTCTAAAAGTTAAAGATTTGATACTATAGTAATTATATAAAGAAATTCTTTTCTAAAGTTTAAATTTTTTGTATTTCGATAATCTATTCTTGATAATAAGAAATATCTTAGCGATAGTTAAAAACTACATAGTAAAACAATCGTTATAATGAAATAAGACAAATGTTAAATTAGATTTTTGTAATATTATTACATTTCTAAATATCATTAGAAAATAAATTAGAAGAAATTGAATAAAAAAATGTAATTTTTTTTTATATTTATTATATATAAATAATGAAGATCTATGCGATTAAACACAAACAAGAGATAACATTGTTCATAACTTATTTTCTGACTGTTTATTATAACTTTTATATTCTCTAATTGTAACTTTACTTGTAAACATTCAAACTAACGTCATATTATGTGCTAGTAATAGTGTATGAATTGAAAATGAACAGAACTAAGTAGATCTATTTATTTAAAAGAAGATTTTCTTAGTCATAATAGAATTATCTAAGAAACTTATTAACAAAGATAATACTTTTAAATTAGAATTTAGCAACTGTAGATTTTATAAATATGTTATAGATATTTATTTGATTATATATTATTTTTTAGTTATCTTCAAATAAATACTTAAAATAAATGTATATATAAAATTAAATTTGGATTCTTATGCGAAATAAAAACAATATTAATTTGAAAATTTTTTAATAAAATAATTTGTAACGTACTTTGATGCTTTTGTTGTATTACTTAACATAGCTAAAAAAAAGAAAAATATTAAAAAACATAATAAAGAAAATAATAAAAATTAGATCTAATGGGAAGTGATAAAATATGTAATTAATATTAATACTAGGTTGAGGAAAAAGTTCTGCAACACTTTTGACCTTCAATCTTTCCGAAAGTGTTGCAGAAATTTTTGGCCAACCTAATAAAATATTGATTATGATTAATTTGTATTAGTTTACAATCGAAAATAATCATAGAATATTTTATTAGATTTTTTTAATCTATAATTATTGGAAAAAAAATAAATATAAGTTAAAATAAATAATGGATAAATTTCAGTTTTATTCATTTAATAGTTAGTTTTTTTTGAATACAGAATATTACATAATCTAGGGAAAGATTTTCCATCGATTATTTTTCTAATCTATGTATTTATTATATTGTAATATTTCTAATCTTAAAAAATAAACTTGATAACTTACAGTAGAATAATTGTTCATTATTAAGAGTAATCATTGTTATAACATTTTGTTGTTGAATTAAATTTCCATAATCTATTGAAATATTTGAAAATATTTCACATTGATTATTAGATAAATCAAAAGTTAAAAGATAACATTGTAATTCATTTAAACAAGATATTTCACATTGTACTTGATTTTTTCCAAATATAATAGTAGAAGGAGAACAACTTGATTCATTACATATATATTTTATACCAGGAAATTTTCTTAGGAATAGTGATCGACTATTTTCACATTGACATTTGATTATCAATAGAAATAATAAGAATAATAATATTGCCTTATTCATTATCAACGTAGACTTCAACTAAAATAAAAAAAAAATTTTCTTCTAAAAAGTATTTTATTTTTTTAATTCTTAAAGTAAAAACAAAAAAGATTAGTAATCATTTATTATATGCAAAACGAGGTAGCAGTTCTCACTCGTTTCTAATAACAAAATTTTTTTCAGTAAAAATCAAATTTGATAATTTGTTTTCAAAATAAGAATATTGAGTAGAACATACTTAAAAGAATAGATTTTATTTGACTCGATTATCTCTTTCATTAATATAGTTTAAGAACAAACAAAATTAATTATAAAATTTTCATAACTGTACAAAAAGAAATTAATAAATTGAGAACGACTTGAGCACTTAATTAATTTCTAAAATGATTTTAAAGTCATTGCAATATTACTTTTAGACGTCAAACACATTTCATTTTTATAAATGAACTAACTGTTGACGTCATTCTCAGTTAATTATTTTCTTTTTTCATTTGTAAATATTTCATGGTTAATTTTATTTTTCTCTCAGACATATTTTTTAGTTTCTAGAACCTTCTTAATAAAACAAATAACAGAATAAAACAAAAACTATTTTGTGGAGTATTTTTTGTTTCATCTTCTCATTCTCGAGATAAATTATCAAATAGAGATTTTACTGAAGAAAAATTTATTATTCATCGCTTCTGGCCAAGTATATACATAAAGAAAAATAAAGTACTTTTAGTTACTAAGGTTATGGTGTTGAAGTAAATTGTCGTTCTATTTCAATTTTATTAAAAGAAAAGAAATGGAAAATTCAATTCAGATATTAATCATGAAATACGATGATATATCATTGAGATATGATAAGATAAAAGAAATTCTTCTTCGATAATTTAAATCTTAAAACAATGATCAGCTATTAGATTGAATGAAAACTGTGTCGACAAAGATTATTGTGATTATGTGTTTGGTTTCAACTAGATACAATCTCGAAAGATATATATTCTTCAATTGTTTTAATGTTTATCTTTGTTATTATATGATAATAAAATAAAATTGAAAGAATATATTCATAGAAATTTCTGATATTATTGCTAACGAATTACAAAAGAACGATGTAATTTTGAAAAATTTCTTCTCATGAGTATTCTAAGTATTATTAAATTCTCAGATTAAAATACATTCTTTACATGCTTCAAGTATTCAAAATTTGAAATATATTATCTATGAAAAAAATCTTATATTTGCTTTTGTTTTGAATAAATAAAAGTAAAAAACAAGAAAATCTATTATGAATTAAAGTTAAAGAATTAATTCCTGTGTATATTCTAATCAATAATAATATATTTAAAAAGAAATTTCTATTAAGATAAAAATATTTTATATTTGTAAAAAGAAAATAATGCCATAGAAATAAATTGTTTAACTAAATGAAGTTTTCTTTTGTGTTGGAATTTTTTTGTAAATCCATCGAACATGAAGCTGAATTATTGAATGTATGGCAAGTCGTTCGACTAATTTTTTTTTTCATCGTATTGATGAATATCAACTAAATAAAAAGGTTTCTGTAAATGTTGATGTTATATTTATTGTTTTTATATCTTGTTTTGGATAAGATCCCGGATATTTAAAAATCAAAATTATCACATTGTTTTCGTTATTTTCATTCCGTGACATCGATTATTTCAGAAAAATGAAATTAATTACATTAGTTTCACATCATTTTCATGAATTAAACTGTCAAAAACATTTGATAAATACGAAAAACATCAAAGATTGTGTCCGTTACATGAGTTCTTTCAACAATTTATGAATTTGCTGACCGAGTCTTAATTCAAGAATAGTGCTAAACCTAGAAGTATCACAGTTGAATCCTGCCAGGGCCTTGAATTATTGAGAGAAAACAGTAATTTACTGCAGGATTCTTCGTCAATATGTGAAGGATCTAGAAAGGAAATATCAAAGATTTTTCGTAAAGTTTAGACTATATCAGTAAATTCGAGCGAAGTTTCTCATGATTAAAAAGATTGGAAACTTATTCAAGAAAAATAGTGTGAAACAAGACGATTGTCATGATTTGGTCTTTTGAATATTGCAAAAGATTTTGAAATTAACGTATATCAAACAATGGGTGTCATTTAAGTGGTCAGTAGAATAAATGAAACGGTCAGTAAAACAAAAATTCAAAAATCAGTAGAATAAATGAAACGGTCAGTAAAACAAAAATTCAAAAATCAGTAGAATTATTGAATGGTCAGTAAAGTAATGACTGATCAGTGAATTATTGAAATGATCAGTAAAATTATTGAAATGGTCAGTAATTAATTTGATAGGTCCATAATAAAATTTAAACGATCAGTAAATAAAATGAAATGGAAAGTAAAAATATATAAACTTGTGCAAAGATGTACGACTTTTCTTTTTTTTACTGACAAAAATCATATTTTTTCACTGCTACTTCCACAAAATCTACGGACCACTTTTGAATTGTTTACTGATTTTTTTGAAAACTGGCCGATTAATATATTTACTGGTATTTCAATAATTTTTTACTGATATTTCAATTATTTTACTGACCGCTGAACATATTCCCTCAAACAATGACAGATTTTATTGCAAAGAAAGATGAAAGAATCTTTTTTTAAACTGATATATGTTTTTTATTTACTTTATTCTAAAAGGAAAAAAACGGCTTCGTTTGTAGCATGAGTGTACATAGTATTTTCGTAGTATTTAAAATACTTTCTTTTTATCTTAGTAAGGTATTAGAGATAATTGCCATAACTACGTTTACGCTGCTGGTCCGCCACTGAAATTCTCTGAATAATAAATTTATTTATTTCGCGTCATTATCTAATATTGACAAAAGAAAAACGCCATTTCTTTCGAATTCCTATTTTGCATTTTTAAATAGATACTGTATTTTAAATAGGTCAACATTGATTTTAATAGCACATATCATCATTCATTTATCATTATCAATGAATATGTATAACTTACTTTCTTCTTTACTACTATTCACACTCTTCATTTCAACTTTACACGGTTTGTTCAATTAAAAATAATCGTTTTAAACCGTAGATTATTATTTATTTTAGCAATTTCTTGTTATAACCATCCTGACCGATGTGTGCATACACCATCATGTGTTATTGACGCAAATAAAAAGAATTGTTCAAGTTCAGAAGAAAAATATTGCTTTGTAAAAAACTTTTTTATATTATAGTCATAAAAATTTACTTGTTTGTATTATTTAGAAAGATGATGTAATATTCGGTATGGCAACTCGAGGTTGTGGTAAGTTTGATTATCATAAAAACAATGAATTGATATGTGTTCTAAATTTTATACAGCGGAACTTGCATTTTGTAATGCAACTATACTGCTCGGTACTCGACATTGTTGTGATACAAATTATTGTAATCATGCTATTCAAGGAATACATATAAATTGGTTTATGAATATAATCATGTTTATATCAATCATGCAAATCATTAAATAATGACTACTTCTTTTCTTTTTTACTTAATTCATATATATTTTACTTTAACCGAGATGTTTGTTAATATTTCATACAAGACTATTGTTCAGACAGAAAAATAAAATACAGAAGTAAACAACTATTTGTAAACATTTATTTCTTTACAAGAAATTTTCAAAAATTGAAACAACTATTTTCTGAAGTATGTACAAGTTGATGAATAGTTGTTAGAGATCACGCCTTTCTTTCTCTTCAAACTCACTATAATAACTCGAGTAGCATTTAATGTGAATGGATTAGTTTAAAAAACAAAACCGCAATATGTAAATCAACAGGTAGTAAAGTTATAATCAAAATATTCTAGAACACTATTTATCGTTTCTGTTCACAAAAATCTTTAGAAATTTGACTATTAAAATAACATATCGTTAAATGTATTCATACTTTCAAATACGATCGTTTATAGTACTGAGAAATAAGTATGTGCTACTTTTTCTTATTTTTTTTGTCAAAGTATCAGGTTAATAGTTTCTTTTATGCATTTCTCTAAAAGTCCCCATAAGATTGTATATCATGTATAAATGGTCGACAAAATAAACTAAACATTGACAAAAATTTCGTCTTTATGGATAGAGTCTAATCTTTATTCATGTATACGTATTGTTCAATTTTATTTGCTCTCTACTCAGTTTCGTTGTGGTGACTAGCAATTACTTCCATTGCTACCATGACATTTATTTCGCAAATCAAAATATTTTCATGTAATTTTCACTTGTAGTAATAGTTTGAATATTTACCAGCGAAGCTTTTCTTTTGTTTACAAGTTAATAGTAATCTGAAAACAACCCAAGACTAATTATTATCGATCACTATAAAGTATTCAACGTTTTATAATTATATAGAAGTGACATCAATAAGTAAGAAAGTGAACAATTATTTAAATCTAATAATTCAAACTGTTTTAAATTCTTCTATTAACATCAACAATAAATTTTCTATCGATTTTAGTAATTTATATGCTATGTAAAGCGAATTATAACAATCAAGCAAAATGATCTGTTATATTCAATTGTAATACTAGCACATAACGATCATAGCCTTCTCTTTCTTAAAAAACAATTCCAATAGAACAAAATTCGATAAGTTTGTGTCGTAAGAGAAAAAAAAACTTTATTCGTGTTTATGAATAACAACCAAGGATAGATTTCGTTGTTCGAAGTCGCATAATATTACATCGAAAAATTTTAAAACATGAAATTTAAAAAAAGCAAATAAAGTTTATTTCGTGCTAATACATAACCAGTAAATGCTGATATATTCTAATACCATTGATATGCGAACATAGCTAATGTGCTCATGGTAAGGAAGACAATAAGTGGTTTTTGTTGTACTATTGATACACCATTGCAAAGATCAGATGTACAACAGCATATAGTAGCGGTATCGCCATCTTTACTTACTTCCTTACAACCATCTTGACCACCAGGACACGAGGAAGCTGATAAAGTCACATTACGATGAACAACTGTAGTAATATCTTCTAAAATTGTAATATCTTTTAAAGCTGCATTATTTTTTAATTTCGTTTTTGTTTTCTAAAACAAAGACAATGTTTTATTAATTCTTATCAACATCATAATAAAACTCACCATGCATGCTCCACCAGTCGGTGCTTCCTTTTTCTCGTTAGCGGTCATGCCATCTGCATTGAATGGCTCGTCGCACCTATTACCAAACATATTGTTACATTCATAACATTTATATGTGTTGACTATGCTAATGCATCCTATTCACGTCATTAATAAATAAAATATTTTACCATTTCAAATTATAGTTTTCATACCCAAATTAAGTAAAAGAATAAATATCGATTGCATTCTTCTTTTGTTTATCAACTTAAAATAATATGTAAAACGTTTAATATAACAATTCTATTATAAATCGTTAAATGAAAATATAAACTTGTCTTATATAGATGAAGATATTAATATCATTTTCGCGCCTATACATTCATGACAATGACAAGAATTTAACTGCTTCGTTGATTTCATTTGATAAAATGTATAAGCAAATAAATCTCCAAGAACCATCAAACTTTTAGTTGTAATAGAGTATGTAGATCAATAAAAAGTGAAGAGGCAGACCAACTGTCTCGATCAACGTCATTTTCTTACGGAATAATTGTATATACCTTAAAGTACTTTGCATATATTTCGATAAACTAACACAGAACTAGGGGTAGGACAGTTCCATATTAGTTCCGTTCTTAGGAACTGTATTAACAGTTCTTTTGAATAGAACTGAACTGAACCAACAGTTCTTTGAATAGAACTGAACTGTACCGACAAGTTCAGTTCCTTTCAAAGAACCGTTATTTCAGTTCAGTTCTTTTCAGAGAACTGTTGTGAAAACTATTTTTTTGGAAATAAAAACAAATTTGAAACAAAACAGTTCTTTTAAAAGAACTGTTGAAACCGACCAATTCCTTTCAAAGAACTGTTTGGTAAAGTTTAGTTCTATTCAAAGAACTGTTGGTTCAGTTCAGTTCCTTTCAGAAGAACTGAACTGGTAGTTCTTTTGACCAGTTCATCCGAACTTGGAACTATGAACTGTCCTACCCCTACACAGAACTTAATAAAATCCGAAGATTCATATATAAGAATACATCAGATGCTGGGTTTAATATTTACTCATTTTATTATGTTTGCATTCATTAAATATTTCCACACCGCATCAGAATAAAGATTAAATTAATCAATAATTCTATATCGATAAATTTATTTGTGAATAACTCATACGATTTATAAAACTTTTCTTTTATTCTATAAAAAGATAAAATATTGGTTTTATCATTGAAAACATAAACAAAACCAGTAAGCATTTAAATCATATACTATATGTATGATTCAAAAGAAGATGTATATTCTGGAATACTCAAAAAACGTGGACATACTAGCAATTATTGTATTCATTCAAGTGAAAGATATTTATTCGTTTTTTTTGTGATAAAGTATTCGTTATTTTATACATATTTATAAAAAGTGACAACAATATTTAGAAATTGCATCTATAATGATTGATATTTGTCTGAAACTCTTCCTTCAATTCATCTATATTCTGCATATTTATCAATTCCACAATTATGTATATTATATAAAACCAAATGAAAAAATAGTGAACGATAAGATATATTTCTTTGTTAAAAAAAACAATTCTAGTATAACAATATTGCATTGGTTTATTTCGCAAAAATTATAAAGTTTTATTCGTGTTCACAAATAACAATCAATGATATATATATTCAATTGCTAGAAGCTACATATTATTACATCGAAGAAACTAAAAGCATGGAATTTAAAAAAGGAAATGTAGTTTATTTCGTGCTAATACGTAACTAGTAAATGTTGATATGTTCTAATACCATCGATATGCGAACATGGCTAATATACTTATGGTAAGTAACATGATAAGTGGTTTTTGTTGCACTGCTGATACACCATTGCAAAGATCAGATGTACAACAGCATGTAGTAGCGGTAATGCCATCTCCACTAATCGTCTCGCAACCATTTTGACCACCAATACAGTCTTCTGGACCAAATGAATTTATACTACGAAAAACACTTGAACCACCTTTTGATTCTCGTTTTGTTTTCTAAAATAAAAACGAAGATTTATTAGTCCTTATCAACACTATAGAAAAAAATTACTTTGCATGCTGCGCCAGGCGGTGCTTCCCTTTTATCGTTATCGGTCATGGCAGTTATATTGAATGGATCGTTGCAATCGCCTTTCCTGTCACCATCACAGCTATAACATTGATACGTGTTGGCTACACTGATACATCCTATTTACATCGTTAACAAATAAAATATTTGACTATTTTAAAGAATGATTTTCATACCCAAAGTAAGTAAAAGAATAAATATCGATTGCATTCTTCCTGTATTTATCAACTTAGAATACTATATAAAAAGTTTAGTGGAAAAATATTATGACATATTATTATATTTCAATATAACCCTCTCTTTATATAGACTATGTCAACAATATTTTTTTCTACTCATACATTGTTGCCTTTGTAGGCGTTTATTAGATTATCATGGAATTCTTGTCGTTTTAACTATAGGTATTTTCACCATGATACATTACAATGAAAAATAATGGCTAGAATCACATGATAATGGAAGCCGGCTAAACTGGTGGTATGCATAACAACTTCACTACTCTGTTGGTTTCTTACTTATTGTTGTCTGTCGTTATTTGTTGAGTTTATATGACAATAATACAGAAGCAGGTGAATTTACAAGAAACATGA